CCCATTGTGGATTACTTGGCATGTGGCATCTTCATATAGTTGTTGAATGAGGCGGATAAAGGTTTGCGGTACTCCGTAGTATTGAAGCAGTTTCCAAATTACTTCTCGGTCGACGCTGTCAAAGGCCTTCTCAAAGTCGATGAAGTTGAGGTATAGAGCTGATTGCCATTCTACGCTCTGTTCTATGATGATACGAAGCGTTGCAATTTGGTCAGCACATGATTTGTACTTCCTGAAGCCTGCCTGTTCCGGTCGCAGTTTTGAATCCAGTGCGTCTTTAAGCCTCTCCAGGATGATGCGGCTTAATATTTTACTTGGGGTGGACAGGAGAGTGATTCCGCGCCAGTTCTTGCAAGCACTGAGGTCTCCCTTCTTCGGCAGTTTGACAAGGTAACCCTTCTTCCAATCGTCAGGTACCTTCTCTTCCTTCCACACCTTCTGCAATAGTGGTGTGAGCATGTCCGCTGTTGTCTCTGCATCTGTTCTCAGTGCTTCTGGCGGTATTCCATCTGGTCCTGCTGCTTTCCCACCTTTCAGTAGCTTTATGGCGTTCAGGACTTCCATTTTCGTTGGGGGATTTATGTTCACTTGTAATTCAGCGGCTGCAGGTGGTATTTCTGGACGAAGTGCAGGTGGTGGTCGATTCAAGAGCTTCTTGAAGTGGTCGGCCCATCGTTTCCTCTGTTTCTCTTCTTTTGTAATTAAATTTCCTTCTTCATCTTTTATTGGTTTCATCTGTGTTGGTCTCTTCCCTGATAGCAACCTGGTTATTTGATACAATGTCGTCAGGTCTCTCTTACCTGCAGCCTGTTCTGCTTCACTTGCCAGTGTGTCGTAGAAGTGTCTTTTGTCTTTGCGTGCACTCTTCTTCACTTCTTTGTCCAGTGTTTTATACATTGTGCTCAGTTCCTCTTGTCGTTGAGCATCCTTGCACTGGTTTATCTTCTGCTTCACCATCCTCCTCTCCTCTATCAGCTTCCAGGTATCCGTCGAGATCCATTCCTTGTCTTCTTTCTTCTTCCTTCCTAATACGGCTGTGCAGGTTTCTTTCCACACAGCTTTCAAAGACTTCCAGTGTTCTTCCACACAGGTTTCTTCAGGGATGTCCCTCGACGTCTCCCATTTTGTCTTGATGGCTGCTTTGAAGATCTCCTTTGTAGTTTCATCCTTCAGTTTCCGAGTGTTGTACTTGAATTGAGGTCTATCACCAGCTTCCTTGAAGGCTTTTAACTTGATTTGGAAGGTTCCTTGCACTAGATAGTGGTCTGAACCTACATCTGCTCCTCTTCTTGACCTTGTGTTAAGTAGACTGCGTCTCCATTTTCTTGAGATTGAGATAAAGTCGATTTGATTTTTAGTGTGTCCATCTGGTGAAGTCCATGTCGCTTTGTGGATATCCTTGTGCCTGAACACACTGCCTCCAATCACCAAATCGTTGAATGCACAGAATTCTGCAAACAATTCTCCATTCTCATTCATTTCACCTAGCGCCTCTCGACCCATGGTTAGTTCTCTTCCCGTATTGTCCCCTCCCAGTTTGGCATTCATGTCGCCCATTAGAATTTTGATATCGCCAACTGACGTCTTGTCCAGTGTTGATTGAAGTTGTCTGTAGAAATCCTCCTTTTTCTCTTGCTCTGCATTATTTGTAGGTGCATAACATTGTATGATTGTGACCTTTCTTCCTTTTGAGTTGAACCTTGCTGTCATGATCCTGGAGGAGATTGGTTCCCACTGCATGAGAGCCTTCGATGCTCTTGAGGACATCATGATAGCCACTCCCTCAGTGTGCTCGTGGTTGGCGTCTGGGTGACCGGAGTAGATTATTGATTCTCCAGTTGACAGTTTGGAGAGTCCACTCCCATTCCATCTGCTTTCGCAAATCCCAAGCACTTCGATGTTATACCTTCTCATCTCCTTTGCAATCTGGGCTGCCTTACTGGGTTCAAACATCGTGCGGACATTCCATGTCCCCACGTTTACTTTCGCTTTCATCGAGAGAAGACACATCGGCCAATTGGCTTCCCGAAGGCTTTCACCAACTGGCGTCATTTCGCCTCTCCGATTCCAGCGGGGTATAAGTTTGTTTTCATTTTTTATATTTTGTTTGTGCTTTGAAGTTTCTTTAGCGGTTAGATTTGTTTTACGGGGTAGGGTTGCTAGCCCTATGCCCAACCTTCCCTCTTTACCCGGGCTTAGGACCGGCTAGTAACTAGTAAACTAGTTAACCAGGCGAGGTTGTGGGTCTCAATAGCTTCCTCAGAATTAGTGAGTGCGCGTGAACGCATTCGTAAAGACTCAGAGTACAATGTGGAGCGGAAGTAACTTAAATGTAGACTGATGAGAAGTCCACACAATCACCATGAGGAGTGATGGTTGGTAAAGGTCAGAGATGGGAAAGGTAATGGAAATAGGGAACAATAAACAGCTATTTAGGGTCATCAAGGAAACTAGAGCAAAATGTCGATGCTTAGTGAAACGATAAATAAGAAGGAGCAATCAGTCATTTACTCGCAGGAGAGATGACTGTCACACATCAAGGAACAGCTTGTAACGCATTCGAAATCTTAATCACTCACCTCCGTTTCGATTTCTAGATTGCCTCACCTCCTCGTTGTCAAGCTCTACCATTTGTCAGTTATTTTTTATTATTAAACGTAAGTACATGCTGTGTACTTGCTGAGTCGTCAGCTGACCTCTTTTCTCTTTATCTTTCCCCTTCTAGATTTTCGTGGTTACCACCAAACACACTGCTCTACCCGCCCCCCTACAACAACATACCTACTTACAGGCTAGACGAAAACGCATCAACAGCTGGTCGTTACAAGCTGATCTGGCCTCCGACTAATTCCCTTTTACTTGATTTATTAGATGTATCACACACTGGAACAATATTTACTGAATCATGTTTCGAACATGACTCATTGTCCATAGCTGGCCTCCAGCTACTCATCGGTAGAAAGCTATCCAGCCATATCCTGAGTGGAATGCTGGGAAAGTTTTTAACATCCTCAGAAGATGAGAGGGCTGTAACATAGAAGGCAGCAGGCTCCGATAGGCCAGTACCACAGCTTTTTAAGGAAGATGGTCACGGATCATCGATCAGATTAACTTAAGTGTTAGCTAGTATGTAGGAGTCAGATATGATCCGCTCTGAAAAGTTTCAATTGCTGATTGTCCCAGTCTTCAAGAAAGGTGAGAAATCCTCTTGTAATAACTATAAAGAAATCACCCCGACGAGCAGTGACTGAGATTCTAGATCCTATAATTATCAGACGTCTAAGTGAAGCTCGGAAATATCAAAACCTGAGAAAACTAAGCCGGTTTCAAACCTGCTGGTGGGTATATCGACCAGATATCCACTCTCCCTCCCGCTCTGGAGCACACGCGCACTTACCAATGCCTGACACTAGCTGCATTTCGTGGTTTAAAGGTGACACTCAACTCCGTCGACCGAGAGGTCTTATAGGAATGTCTCTCATCACTGGAAGCGGTGCTGGGTAAGTCTATCACTATATTGAAAGCTCTGCACTCAAATACTCGTGACAGCATTAAAGCCCATGGTGAGCCGTGTACGTCAAGTGATCTCTGCCAAGGATATCCATACTCACTATTATTTAATCTTGTCATAAATATGCTTCAGGCAAACTCCCTCTTCTTGTCTGACTTTACAGGGATTGACCTTGTCACAAGAGACCCCTTAGTAAACTTGGAGTACACAGATAACGCAGTCATCCTAAGTGGAGATTCTAGCAAGAGGCAGTCTTTTGGACACCTTGAGTGGTAATTTGAGGTTTCGGACGTGTTTCTCACTTGGCCAACTTACGCCATTTGGAGTGCAGTCATGAGATGCAATTACTTACTAAGCACTGAGTTTACTGCATTGCAATTTGCTGTTTTATGGCTGTGAAATATGACCACCAAAAGTAAGGGATATGAGAAGGCGTCAGGTATTCGGCCATCGTTGCATTCGTAGCATATACCATTACGTCAGCAACGTAGAATTTGGGGCAGAAGAGTAAGATCGGTTGGTGAGGTTGCGAACCTTCCTCAACTCACGTGGCTGGGACACAGGTTACGCACGCCTATTCACCACCCGCCCCATCGCACATTGTTAGCTGAAGTAGGATTAGGCTAGAAAAAGGTTACAGGAAGCCAAACTATAAAATAGCATTGGTCAATGAAGCGTTTAATTGTAATCTGAAAAGTGTAAGAAAATGCAAACGTCCCGGTCGAGGTTCGTATGACAACCAAAATTGGTGGCTGGAGACTACGCTTCAGTGGTGATGTTTACAGACATTACCTTCATCCTAATCGTCATAATGAATTCCAGTATTAGCTCATTTCTCCTTGTTCTATTTTTTCGACTTCCTGTGAGTTTTGACTACTTCTCTTCGAATTTCTCTACTTTAATGCCTTCTACGTTGATGTGGTGACATGAAGTGTGGCAACCTGGACGGTTACAGAGTAATACCAAGTCCAATGTTAAAGTTGACCTACTGGTTATTGAATACCAAAAAGCATAATATTACCTACTGAAGAACAGGAAGGCGATATTGATAACGCCAACCATATCGAAAGAAACCCTTTGTTACTGACAAAAGGAAGAGCATTAATCCAGACTTATATTCCTGTACATACTCCAAATTCCTTAGAAAAATAAATATCATACATCATTTTTCTGGACTTATATTGCATTGTACAGATGTGTAAGAATCCAAGACGTAGAAAAACTGATGCTAATTTTCGATAAGTATTAAAGAAAATGACAGCCAGTATCTAGAAGATTGATGAGATGTTATTCAGTCGAGAAGTTCACAGAACACCACAAAATGTAGAAAGCATGAGTGCAGTTTATTAGAAATTCAGTGACAACAGACAAAAAAATACATGCGCAAGAAACAAAACAACATACATTATATCACACTCGTGTGCTTAAACAAGAACAATACAAAACTGAAGTAATTATTAAGCCAACCTATATATATATGGATTCACTTCTAAACACTTGAAACTGATATCACTAACCATGAAAGAAATACATAAAATAAAACGATTGGATATACAGAAAGAGCAACACGATTTTTTGGCAATGTTTGATGAACAAAAATGAATGATGCGTACGAAGAGTAAATTAGGCCAGAAATAACAATCAAAAGTCGGATAATAAAAATAAACAAAGAATTTGAACTTGTGAGCACAAGTATTCGACATATAACTAAACCGATAACAAGCGGTAAAATACAATATCCCAAAACGCATACAGTTTGCAGGAATGACCTTAAAGTGTAAAAAGTAAACACGATAAATTTTAACTGAAATTAGTATTTTCTTTCAATGTTTAAGATGAATTGAAATGTCAAAATTTGTTGGTCTAGCAACAACATCTAGGTTCAAGGATTAGGACTTGGTTCATTAGACTGATCGATCACTTCATTTACTTGCAAAGTTGTTTTACACCTAATGGACTATTCGCTGGTGAAAACGGTATGGATACAAGAGGCTTATCTAGCATTCGCCAAAATTTACTACCTGTGGCACCGAAGAACGGAGTGTAGTGGTGGAATGTGTTGACCACTTCATTTACTTGGGGAGTTACATCAGCCCAAACGGGCTGGTTGCTGACGAAATCTTACCTCAAATACACAAGGCCTGTTTCGCATTTGCCAACTTATGACATGTGGTGCCGACTGACGAGATATTCGACTATCTATGGAAGAACGAGTAGGCTGCACTGCAGTCCGTTCTATCCTGTTGTTTAGCTGCAAGATATGGTCGTTAGAAGTGGAAGGCATGAAGTAATTACAATGTTCTGACCGTAGGTGTCTTTGTAACATTGCTCGCGTTTGGTGGAATCATCGGGTAAGCAATGTTGAGGTCAAGCGAAGGGTACTAGGCAAGACAGGAAAGTTAGTCAATGAGGTTGTGAACCTTCATCGTCTAAGTTGACTTGGAAATGTACTGCGTATGCTGATCCACCGAGTAGGTCAGAAGAGGGTTCAAGGTGGCCAGACCAAGACATGGTACCAGTCGATGAAGTCTCTTACTGTTGGTCTGAGTTATGTGGTGAAGATGCAGACAACCTGGAGTCTCCGAGACGATAGGAATTAGTGGTTGAAGACTCTTGGTGACATGGCTGAAAATCAGTCACAATGGCTCAGATGTATTCACTCTTCTTAAGCTTGAACATTCGCATGAAACTTCATCTTCAAATTGTTTACTGTATCACCCAGCTTTGTCTATGATAACACTCTCTTTATACCCACCTGTTCCTTGTGTACTACGGTAAAGGTATGGCAGTTTGAAGGAATGCAACTGTGTGCAAGGTCCTATATTAGTTCCGACTGCCTGGCACTGAAGAGATATCCGACTGTTTAAGTTAGGAGTGGAGTGCCAGAAAATAAAGGTAAGTTAGTCAATGAGATTTTGAACTTGTGCCAACTAAGGTCATTAGAGGATTTTACAGACGGTAAGCCATTCCCTACATTCATGCCCTTTGTCAGCAAATGGGGTACTGGGACAGAGAAAGTTTCCGGCTGGTTAGATTAACATACAATCAATTCAAGGGGCCGATGACTGTTGGCTAGGGATTGTAATGAACTATGATACTTCAAGTTAGGGGTTAATATGACCACTGAAATAGATTACTCAAGAGTTTCAGCGAAATGATTCATAATAAACTGCAATAAAGCACAAACATTCAAAAGTCTACTTTCCCCATTGTCTAGAGTATAATATTATGGTCTTTGTCTCTTTCACTAACGAAACTTTGATATTTTCATTTCTTTATGGCTACTAACATCAGTGTTTAGTTTCTCATCCTTCCTCTTGCTGATTACCCTTAGCTATATCGATGCAGTGTACAATTACACTCCACAATTCTCTCCAAAAGTCAGATAAAAACACAAAACATTTATGGGGCACGAAAGCTATGCAAGACAATAAATAAACGACTACTTACACTGCACCACCAAGCAACTTGGAATTCAACGTCACTATTGCTGAACTAAGCCAGAATATGACGAAGACTTGAGCAAATTCCGGTCCGCCGTGTTCAGTGTTTCCTGAACTCGGGCTGCTGTGCAACAGTCTACAAACAAAGTAAATGGAAATAGTGAATAGTATGCAAACTGTAAAATGATATCTTAAAGTTATACGATTTGCTGTCTATTACGGTTAGTATCTTGAACCTTTAATCAATGTTAGAAGAGTGAACAAATAGCAATTCTTGACTAACGGGATACCAGAGCTTATATAACTTTATGAAGTCTGCAAGCTTTCCAAAGTACGAGTTGACGGTGAAAGTCAGAGAGATAAACAAAATCAACGTGAAACCTCACCCAAAAGTGAATCCGTTTAAGCTGCCACACTTCACAGTAGTATACAACGGAGTGGGTAAGTAAAATAGTTATCTCAAAGTAGACAAAGATTTATGGAAGGAAAAGGAATTTGAAAATAAAGATTAGTCAATACATCTGCGTTATTACCATCGATTATCAACCACATCACCAAGAGTCTCCAACCATTGACTTTTATCGTTTAGAGGATCCCAGCCAGAGGATCTACACCTCTTAACACAGCTCAGAAAAAGTCAGAGACCCCACTGACTGGTACTACATCTTGATCTAGCCATCCTGAACCTTTTTTCAACCTTTCACATAGATGTGGTTCGACATGTGCAACACATGTTCAAGCCACCTCAGTCGCTGAAGGTTCACAACCTCGTCGACTGACTTGCTTCCTTTCTTGGTACCCTCCCCTTAACCTAGACAATGCTCACATGATTTAACAGTAAACGAATAATGCTACAAAGACACCAGCGGTAAAAAACACCTTCAAAAAATGATAATTTAACCTTGTATGTATAATCAGCCTACAAACTTTAGGATGAAGAGGCATCAAAAGTGGTTCCCCAGCCTCCTTTTACAAGCAGGAGGCAAGTAAACAATAACTACTTGTTTAGAAAAGAAATTCTAGTTCAAGGGTCTTGACCGCGAGGTTCAGTACATAATTTTGTTTGTTTCCTTATACCTTACTTGGTAAGGATAGACATGACGACGAATAATGATGGAAACACTGTCCTTCGTGAATAAATCACGAAATCCGAGTCTTGCTAAGACGCAAGAAAAAGTGTTGGAGTCTTATAACCCACCTCGGTACTTCCGAAGTGGTGAAGCATTACAAAGTAACCAAGAATAAATGTATTGCTGCTATCCGCCGGTCTCAAATGTGTTTGGAAACACAACTTGCCCAGGCTGCACTGCAACGCCCAAAGAGGTTATTTTCTAATATGAATTATGGGAGTAAGACATATCGTGGTATATCCGCCCTAATCTAAGGGACAGAAACTGATAGTTTAATTGCAGACGATAAGGAAAAGGCAAAAGCTATGGCTGCATATTTTGCTGAGGTCTTTATACAAGAACCTTCTGTGGACACTAATTCAACGGTAGAAGCATTGACATCCAACGCAGTGAACTCTGTGGACATCGATGGCAACGTATCTCGGATATTAGGTACTCTATGTAGAGAAACCGAGACTGGGATGAGGTGCACCCAGTGCTGCTCAAAGGGCTTGTGCTTTATGTAGGCGATCCATTGACTACTATATTTAGGCTGTCCTTCAGCGAAGGTACACTCCCCTATGATTGGAAGGACGCAATAGTCACACCCATCTGCAAGGCAGATTCTAGGCAGCACGCGTAAAATTACAGACCGATAAGTTTGACTTGTACTACAGTAAAAATCCTAGAAAGAGTGATCAAGGCCATTAAATTTCACTTAGAGAGCAACACTCCATTGTCTCGTCTGCAGTTTGGCTTTCACGGAAATTTCCCCTGCTTGATGGACCTTTTAGTTAGAGGAAGTTGGATTAAGTCTCAAGACTAGATGATACCTGTAGATCCCATTTTCATAGACTTTGGTAAGGTGTTCGACAAGGTACCTCATCATAGGTTGCTCGCGAAACCAGAAAGTTTCAGAATTGCTGGCAATTCACTAACATGGATCAGACAGTTGGTAGGATACCGACAGCAAGAATCGATTTTCAACCATCCTACTGGAAGGTAGTAGAATGTGAAGTGCCGAAAGGTTGTTCTGTATCCCCTACTTCTCCCATACATAAACGAGCTGCCGAATATCCCGAAATCCCTTATGGTTCTCGATGCCGATGATGTAAAACTCAAGCGGAAAAACAGGGATGACGAAGACAGGACTTTAGACAGGCCTAAACAGCTTGCCTACCTGTTCAGAGAAATGTCTAATGCCTGTCAGTGGAGGTAAGTGTGTGAGCATGCACATAACGCACACATATGACTACACCTACGATATTGGTGGGACTCCACTATCCTCAGTAAAGACCTAATACGACCTATAAGTCACACTAAGTTATGATTTGAAGACCCCGGTACTGCTCATTGGTCACAGCACGAAGTTTTAGGACATTAGGCATCAAGTAGAACGTTTATAAAAACAAGTGGTGGTATGGTCATCATCTCATACACATCTAGAAAAATTGCACAGGTAGATAATCCTTGTCTGAAAGTTGACTCATATTTTCTGGGAAAAGTTCGGAAGGTAGCCATTCGTAAGATCGTTGCGATGGATGCCCTAACCTACGGAGGTCGATTTAAGGTTTTGGACTCCTTTCCTCTGTCCAAATGCAGAGATGTAATCATGCTATACACAAGAAATGACTTTGGACTTGATCTATCTCCTACTTCTTTTCCCACCAGGTAGTGACAACTCAGAGGTCATAGCAGGAGAATACAAAGGGAAAGGACGAATGTAGTATCTGTGGAGTATTGGTTCTCGCGCCGTGTAACCAACTGGAACCAACTCTTAGAAGTGGTCCACGTCACTAGTTAACTCCTTTAGAAAAGGACTGGAAAAAGACAGCGATTTACTGGGAAAAAAATTAATATAGGCTCACAGCCTCTTTTCCTCCAACAAAACTAAAATTTTAAAAATCCGTTGAGGAGCACATGGAGATAAGTATTAACAGCCTAAAAAGGTTTCTCCTAGATTTCGTCAAAGATAACGAAACAGGCCTGAGGTCAACCCCCTAAATTCTTGAAATCGAGTTTTTCACTTGTCTGTCAAAAGTAACACAAGTATTTTCTAGAGAGCTCGCTTGATTTGCATTATTAAGACATCCTTATCCTAAAACTACGCATGCTAACTCAAAACAATTTTTAACATGGATAAGAACTCACGCAGACATTATAAGACACAGGACTAACGGGCCCCAAAGATCCCCTGAAAGAAATCGATTGCAAAAAGGACAAATAACCTACATTCTTTTAATAGTCCTTGTCCCTGGCGTGGAACCAAAACATACGCGAACTTTTGACCAACAGCCCGTGCCGATCTAAGCTGCTCAGAACATTAAACAAGAGACTGCATTTACAATAGTGTCACGAATAGGCTCATCAAGTAATGTCAAACTATCACCAGCATATTTTTCATTATCGACAATATGACCTTCTAATAGGACAGATCCCATGTGCTACAATACAATGTAAGTATATAGGTCTTTACTTGTTGTGATGACTGAAATTCAAGCATATAGGCGAGTAAAATTGAGGCCCGAGCGCTAGGACCAAAACAACCACTCTACAACGGCCTTCAAATTACCTCCAATCCAATATCCAATATCTTTTGACGAGCTAGTGTAAATCAAATGATTTCTTCGTGCTCGCTTCTATGTCTTACGGAACGGTTCCATGTCTTTGGTGGATTCCAATGCAGTGGGTCCACCCACTCGGCTGATGTAGCTCTGGTTAGCCCGACGGGCGGTTGAGTGTTGTTTAGATTTGTAGGGAGTGTTTGTTTGTTTGCTTTTTCTTCTGAGAACTGTGGTGCAGATGGGTTCCCCAATGTCGTGCCAGCAGACAATTGGTCGGACTGGTTGCAAAAAAGAGGCGAAAAATATGTGCGGAAAAATCAAGGGAGAGAAAGTGCAGAGAGAGACAAAATAGAAAAAGAAAAGAAAAAAGGGAAGAATAATATATTCAAAAAAGATTGGGAAAAAGGAAACGGCAAGGGAGAATAAAACATTGGTGGGTTCATGGGGAATAGGTGATGGGGAGAGCTTTTGTTAAAGTTTGAGAGCGCAAAGTCAGAAGGAAGAGTAATAAATAACATGATAGGGCGAATGCGGATGTAGTAATTCTTTTAGTGGGAGACGGTAACCGGAGGGGACGTCTACAGCAACGTATAAAGTTGAGCCAAGTTCTCAGTGATAGTGGTTTTACAGAGTGTTCAGCGACGGTTGGCCGTACCGAGTTAGTAGGTCGTGTTAGCCTAGTCCACATCCCAGTTGGATGAGCGCAAACCGCGCGTCGCTGAGTAACTGCCCAACCTCTTCTTGAAGCTGTCAACAGACGGAGCAGTAGCAATCTCGGCAGGCAATGCGTTCCACTGGCCGCAAACTCGCAGAAAGAAGTGTGATCTCACACGGGTTTTCGCTCTTTGGTGAGCGATCCTCCCTGGGTTACCACGAGGACCTCCATAGTGGCCGCTCGGTAGGATTCCACTGTTCGGACAACTTGGGATACTCAGTATTTTGTAAGCCGTTATCAAGTCACCACGTAATCTAAGGTAGCTGAAAGAGTAGAGCCCTAGATCTTTCATCCTGTCATGATATGGTTCTTGCCTCATTCCCACGACACCCTTTGTAGCTCGCCTTCGGACTTTCTCCAGGAGGTTCACGTCTCCTTTCAGATATGGTGGTGCAATGACATTGTGTACTTCTAGGTGGGGTCTTATATAGGTCTTATGCAGCTTTAAAAATAGATCCGGGGTGAGGGCAACAAGTTGTCTGCTCATGAATTGCAGTACTGCGTAGGCTCTGAAGGCATCTCCTGGATAATTGGGACTAGTGTCTAGTTTGTCAGTCAGTATTATTCCTAGGTCTTTCTCTGTGATGGTGTAGGAAAGTTGTGTTCCATAGAGAGAATAGGGTACCTTCTGAGAGTCTGGGGTGCGGAGAAACATGGCTCGGCACTTATCTAGATTAAATGCAAGCCCATTAATATCCACCCACTCTGCAAGTAATCTGAGATCACTTTGCAGTGCACTTGATTCTGTTTCTGACGTCACAGCTTTCTGTAACCTAACGTCATCAGCGCAGAGTGGAATTGAGGAGCTGACATTCAGTGGGAGGTTGATCACAAAAAGAAGGAATGGCCGTCGACCCAGAATCGCCCCTTGTGATACACCAGATGATGATGTCCTCCAAGTCCAGCAAACTGTGTTGGCTTTTGTGCAGAATTGTCCACCGTCTAGATAGTCCTGCAACCATGAAAGCACTTCCCCCTTGATGCCCAATCCTGCTATTTTGTGAATAAGAACGGTGTGTGGAACTGTGTCAAGGGTCCTAGTAAAATCCAGGAAAATAACATGGAAAGGAACTTAGAGGTCCCAGCATGCCGTCCACTTGTCACCAGCCGCCAGAATGTTTGTGGCACAGGACCTACCCTTTCTGAAACTATGTTGAGCATCGCTTAGCGCTCCCCCCTTTCTAAGTACTCCCCAACATGGTCGTCTACCAGGCTCTCCATTACTTTTGACATCGCTGGTAGGAGGGCTATGGGTCGGCAGCATTTTGGGTTCTGCCTGTCTCCACCTTTGAAGATTGGGGACAGAATACCACTTTTCCACTCTTGTGGAAGCATGTGATTGTCTAAGGAGTGTTGAAACAAGTTACACAGCGGATCGTTCAAGGCACCCGCGCACTGTTTCAGCACGGCCGGTCGGATGTCACCACACCCTGGTGATCTCCCTGGGCGGAACTTTGACAGTTTTTCAAGAGCCATAGCAGGAGTTACCTTTATTCCAGGTAACTCTACTGCGTTTGGAGGTGCTGAATTTCGGTCGGACAGTTTGAAATTTTGGTCCGATAGGGACGTATTCAGTTGCGTATCGAAGGTGGCGCTAAAGGCTTCGGTGATCTCTGGTCCGGTGGGGTTCTCTCCGTTTAGGCCTTTCAGGACGCAAGCCCCCTGGCTGGTGGATTTTCTGCCTGCCATAAACCGACATAGGTTTTTGGGTTTGCCTCGGGCTTTTGAGCAAGGTTCGTCTGGAGTGACCTCTTGTCTTCCCTCACTCTAATGTTACATCGATTTCTTAGGTCAACATGTACAGTGTGGTCAGACTCTTTTCTAGAAGTCCTCCACTTGTGCCATGCTTTCCTCTTGGCCTTCAAAAGGCGTTCAGTGCCTCGCTTCAGCCATGAGGTTCGCTTCCGCGGTATCGCTGTGATTACTGGGACGTCTTCAGAGACAGCCCTCTTGATGATATCTCTGACCAGTTCCCAATGTTGGTCAATCGACAGGTTGCCCCACTTCTGAGGCCATGGTGCTGTCGACAGATATTGGTTCATCGCCACGTAGTTCGCTTTGTTGTGGCAAAGACAAGGGCGCGATGCCTCCCTTAACAGTTGTTCATTGAGTACCAGATCGAACACTGCCACGCCGTGATGGCTGTAGCCGAGGGGGGTTTGAACCTGTACATTTCCTACCAGCAGTGCGTCACTGGTAAAAAGGTAGTCCAGTTTGGACGGCTTTCCGCCCGACCCCCAGCGAGTGTCACCACCAATATTCTCGTGCAGCCCAGCCTTTTTGATAGTGTTGAGTAGGTTTCGGTCGAACCTTCGACTTGAGGTTCCCCTATCCTGCCCAAGATTGAGAGTCGGAGCGTTGAAGTCGCCGGCTATAATGACCTGGTCGTACCCGATGGACGTCACTCCGGACATTACTTGCAGCAGTTGTCGGTTATCTTCCACGCTGCTAGTAGGTGTTCTGTAGATGCCTCCTACCAGGTACTTGGTGTGTCCAACCTTAAATTGACACCAGATGGAGTCTAATGCCCTGAAAGCAGAGTTTCAGTTGCTCGTTCACTTTTAAGGCTATCGCTTACAAGCATCGCCACTCCGCCTCCTTCCTTAAACTCCCTGTCTCTCCTGAACACACGCATACTGTCTATACTAGTTTCGACGTCGCTAATGTCCGGTGATAACCAAGTTTCTGTCAGGATTATGATCGTTGGAGCAAGGTAGGAACAGAGAAATCGTAATTCCCCCATTTTACTTCTGAGTCCCCCCACATTACTGTAAAGACACTTGGCTATGTTTCCAGCGACATGGGGTATCTTGGTGCTGGCAGAGTGGAGGTAGTCGTGCGTAATGGCGAAACTTGCTATATGACGGCCAGCCGCAGTGGAGCCGGTCCAATCACGTTTCTTCCCACAATGGTTTCTGGGGGTTTCATAGAGTCCAGGCTTGATTGTGCATCTTGTCTGTTGACAGTGATGGTGGCTTCAGCGCTAGGAGGTGCTGCCATTTGCTGTTGTTGGAGTGTCCTGGGCCTGCTTTCACAGCAGCGGACATTCCCACTGATGTTACCTTTTACTGTGTACCAAGTTTGCAGTACGCCGGTTAAAAGTTCATGACAGCCGAAGTTAACAGCCACCGACCGGGGTGCTGTTATCGTCGTCAAATGTGAGGGACGTGACAGTCTGCAGACCACCGCCGCTGCTGTCCCATTTAGCCCCATCCTCGCTGAAAACCACTGCCATTGCTGGATGTCGTGAGCATACTTTTCCACGACTGTGCCGGTTGTCAGTTCTGGTATGCCGTGGACAACCATAGTTGTTGGTTTCAGCGTTTGGGGCGCCTCGCGAGATACTTTTCCTGCTGACCAAAGGCGGCCTGGTCTGGCTCTGATGCTGGATGACCTGTTGATGACTAGTGTGTGTGACATTAGCAAGAATCTTTCCGCTTCTTTAGCAGAACCTAGGGTAACTCTCATCGGCGGAGGCTTTCCCTGAGGTGGGTAGTTGCCTTTGTAGAGCCTGCACAGTTTTGCTTCTAGGCTACCCAGTCCTAGTGTGGTGCACGCGGTTTCCCATTGCTGGTTGTCAAACGATTCTCTGTTCTCAAGGAGACTATCATGGCACACAGGAACATTAAATAAGGTGATGGAATTCGATCTGTCATCAGCTTCTCTATTTTCGTGTACTGTGGGTGGTGTTTTGTGGGAAGAGTGCACCTTCTTTTCCACTGTCACCCATTTTTCCCGTTGTACGGTGGGGTTAGCCGCCAAAGTGGCTTCAGGGTTAGGGACTGATTTAGTTGGTGGCGCACCAGGTCGTCGTTTTGGTCGTTTTGGACTATTAACCGGTGTGACTGGCCGGGGTACAGTGCTGACACTCTTGCTGCTAGGGCCTGGGGTAGTAGGCTGTGTGGGTGCCGGCATCACAGTAGTCACTATGATGTCTTTTACGACATCCATCAGCGAGCCTCTAGAAAAGAGTGGCCTTATGCGGCACTGTGGGCAGATGTACCAGAACCACGTGCATGAGTAGCGCGCCATGAAGGTGTGATATTGGTCTGGTATGTCCTCATCACACTGACTGTGCACCCACTTATTGCGGATGTTACACTCGAAGGCAGCATCCCTCTCGGCTAGGGTGAGACCACATGTATGGCAGCCGTCAGCCTGACCAGAACGTTTGGTTAACGATGTTCTTTTCCCTCTCTTCCGTCTCTCAGTGGTAGCCTTCAC